TACATGGTTGTGCACTGTAAATGAAAAACAGGTTACAGTTACAGAATCCCTTATAGCTATTCAGTTTTATAAGCAACCTGGATTGAACGCAGCAGGTGATACAGCATTCGTAATAACCACGAGAGACTTGAGACTTGACTTGGACTCTAGCTCAAAGACTTGTGAGCATCTCTGGTAGGTACAGAAAATGTTTAATCTGCAGTAGAAGCTTCAGCCAGCTGCTGAACCAGCTGCAACATATTCCTTCCTTCAGAAAGTGCTTCTTGTTGCCAGCGACAGGCTCAGATTGTTACACCAGGTGTCTGACAACATCATGGAAAGGATCCCTACGAGGGACTCCCGCTCCCACCATCTTTGTTTTTAACAGGAAACTGAAGTCAGGGACAGTTGATCAGTCAAAGAGCATCATGGGAGCAACAGCTGAACAACTGAATTCAGCTGCTAATGTTATGCAGACAGGTTGCTGTTGACAGAAAGAGACAAATGACGTCAAATCAATGAGTTGGCATCACTGCTGCACATCTGAAGAGTGTGACCCTGGACTGAAAGGTGTTGCTAAGCAATACATAAAGTTTTTTTGTTTTGTTGTTTTTTTCCCTCTATTAGTAGAAAAGTATTAATATACTTATATTAAAACACCTTTTTACCACATTTTACTGCGAAAACAGAATAACAGATTTCTCAGATGCACTAATCAATATGTTAACCATGGATCTAATGAGTGAAAGGTGTCCCCAATGAGTTTCTCTGCCTCCTTATCTCATTGTTTCGGTTGTGTAGTAATAAAGCTGGTTTCATGCAGCTGTTTTCAGGTCGATCTATCAAAATAATGCCCACAGGGATATGTGAGGAGAAACTGGCTTCGTCGTAGTGGAGGTTAATCATTTAACCACCGGCTTTGATGAAACATAAGATATGATTTCATTAGTCTCAGAGTTCAGATCTAATTTTGAAATGAGTCTGTTGAAGGTCAGTTTAGATTTGATGTTTTTATTGGACAGCTGTGTGACGGCCTGTAGCTGCAGACACTTCATCAAAATGGATAGATACTGAAAGAGAACAAACAGAGATTTAATTCTGTTGTAAATATACAAATGTACATTTCAGTAGATGTGAAATCATCTGCACCCAGCTGAGCTGATGGTGGAGACAAGAAAAATGATGTCAGTTGTTTCAGCAAATGCCCCAAAACCTCTGTTCAGGTGACAGTGACCCCACGTGGCCGTGGAGGACAGGAGGAGTCTGGTGGGTTGGATGGGTCAACAGAACTGTTCATTTCCTGTTTCTTATCAACAGCCAACGGTGTTTTATGTTTTTAAGCACGGCAGCAATCTGAAATCAGCAAGAAGGCGCTGCTGATCTCATGCTGTCCTCCTGTTGGACCAGTGTTACAGTAAGATGTCTCTGTACAGCACAGTGACACCCTCAGAGGGTCGCGAGCGTTTGCTGTCATGTACACTGACACCAGTGAAGCACACATGATCCTACAGTGCTCTGCCTGTGTGTGCTGAGCCCCTCCTCCTGTTCTATATGTTCTGGAACATATTGTTCTCTGGCAGCCGGCCTGAAAACACCACACACGTCTTCAGACTGCCGCCCCGCCCTCACTGCCTCTGAGACACAAAGCAAATCAAATATGAGCTATACATGTGTTTCTGTGTTGTGTGAAGTGGTGGATGAAGTAAAAGTGCTAATACCTCACTGTAAAAAATACTGTGCTACAAGTAAAAGTATGAAAGTATAATAAAGAAAATGTGCTTAAAGTGTTAAAAGTAAAAGTACTAAAAGAATGAAGAATGTCCTTTGACTGTTACATATCATCAGATTATTATTCCTCATGCATTAAAAATATCAGACTGCAATTAATGATTATTTTTGGATTAATCTGCTGATTATTGTCTCAATTAATTGATGTAAAAATTCTAACAATAATGAGAAATGTTGTCACAGTTGCCCAGAGACTCCTTCACAATCCTACTTTATAAAGTAACTGAAGCTAAAGTAGTCAGATAAATGTAGTGAATTAAAAAATATCTCCCTCTGAGATGTGGTGGAGTAGAGGTAGAAAGTGGCATGAAAGAAATACTCAAGTAAAGTACAAGTAGCTCAAATTTGTACTTAAGTACAGTATTTGAATAAACGTAACTCTGTTCACAGGTTAAATAAGTTTGTTGTAATGTGAGAACAGGTACAGGAAGTGGAACAACTAGAATATCCTGAAAACTCCTTCATCATTTTTCATCTGTTACGTCACCGAAGACTCCAAAACTTCTTTTAATAAAGTTAATTGTGTGATATTATTAAATTATTATTATTATTGTGTGATACAAAATGATATCACAGATCTGACTTATGAAATCATATTTACTTTGTGGAATTTGTGACAATCTGTAGGCAAATTATTCAATTACAATTTCTTACTACAGACCATCAGCTCACGCAGAACTCCCATAATATATAACGGTTCATGCTTTCTTCTTCTTGAGGCGAGCTGAAGGAAATCTAAGGCAAGAGCAGTTTGACAGAAAATCGTTAACTCAAGGCATTCTTCCAGGTTTACATCCACATCTCATGGCCTTCATCAGGAGGAACGAGCAATTTCCCCTCGGAGATCAATAAAGTTCTAGCTATCTATCTTGTTTCATTGCCTTAAGAACAAAGGAGGCAGCGTCAGGAGAGACTGTCAGCCACAACAAAGCACATGTTCCACTGACTTCACACGTATGAAAATGAAAAAGCATTTAAAATATGTGTTTAAACAAATGCATGTTACATAAAACAAATTTTGCACATGAATAATTTTTCTGGATACACTTTGCTACAACTAAATAATAAAATACCACATCAATAATAGACTCTTGATTCTTGTCTGGGATTTGAGGATTCTTGCACTCCTATTGGCTGTTTGGTGACTGTGTCACAGTTGCCCCCCCCCCCATGCCCCCCCCCCCCCCCCCCCCCCCCCCCCCCCCATGCCCCAGCTCCATTTCACAGGCTATAGCAGCCCCTCCCCCTCCTGCTCCTCCTCTCAGTACAATGTGTACCCAGCTGAACGTAAAAAACATCGAACACTGACATATTGTTGTCTGCTGCGTCTGGGCTGTGGGAAGCCCATTAATCTACACATTCCTATTAATCCAGCAGGCTAATCACACTCTGGATCTATGACTGTGGCATGGCAGAGCTGATGTCCTGTAGAGATGTTTACAGTCCCATCCTTACTCATGAAGGCAGGGGGTATGCAACTTTCTCTCAGCCAATAGGATCCCTGCCCTCTGTTATTCCTCCTGTATTATCCCTGCTACCCCTGCAGCTGCTGCTCTTCCTGAAGTCTGCTCAAAAGACATTCCAGACAGCAGACACTCACATGCACACAGCAACTCTTCACAAGGAGAGCACAAACTAAATCCAGCTCCAAAGGGCAGGTCCAGTGATTTCCTGTTGCTCCTTCATAACGTTGCTTAACTCACAAGATAGAAACAAAAACAAAACAATGGTTCCTGGCTCCAAAAACACTCGATCCTACACTTCCCATAATGCATCTATTTGTTAGACCCTCTCCACCTGTTGACGCCTCCAGTTTGTAACGCAGGCTTTCGGTTATACATTTGCAGAAATTACCCTGATGAGGTCACTGGGGTCATCTGTGAGTCGCTGCCCACACCTCTGATGTCTGGTGCTGCGTTCACTGACGGAAAACGCAAAATTTTACATTTTAGGAAATACACTTTTGATAGCACGTCTGGACAGTAAGTATGAAGTTACCACCAGCAGCTGGCTAATTTAGGTTACATCCACAATACTACGCTGTCCTGACCAGCGTTTAGCTGCGTATCAGAACTGATCTCTGTCCTGGGCAGTTCATTCAGTGAATAGTTTTAAAGCTATATGATCACACTGTGCTCTGTTTACCTGCTGAGGCCTCATTCTAGAACCACGGCAGTATTGCAGGTTAGCATAAAGAAGCACTGTGGTCAAGGTAAAACTGTTTCTGTGTCAGACTGAGGCGTCTAAAACTGATTACAACAAAACCTCTCTGTAATCTTCAGATGGGTGTTTTAGTTGCATCCCGAGAGGATTTGCGACATAAAAATATCAGCACCCAATAACTGTATAGGTTGTTTTTTGGGTGGCGATCAAAGATTTGAGCCTGTCTGGTGTCTCTGGATTGATAAAACAAACCCTGAGGGATAATCCACAGAGGATTAGCCCCAACTGTGGGAAACAACTTATTCCATTCAGGGCCTAAACAAACAGTGACGGGACATAGACGCTGTAAAACAAACCAGTGTTCATTTAGCCATGTTTGGTCAAACTGTACAATCATTCACTGGAACATTCACTCATCGCCTTTTTAACATAAACTTTATGTGCACATGACGTACAGCAAGGTGGAGATATGGCTACATAGCCTTTGAGTCCCAGGGTAACAACTGATACTTTAACTACTCAGCTTGTATGCCATACTTCAAGTGTCCCAAAATAAGTCACATAACAATTTAAGATCAACGCTTTCCTCCCTGTGCATCCAGTAAAGACATAGCAGACTCCGATGGGAAGGTCAGTTTGTTCCTCTGAACAGAAACGGGCCTAAGATGTGTTTAGCCTAGCTTAGCAGGAAAACTGGAAGCGGGAGGAAACTGCCAACATGTTTGAGGCGTAGCTGTTTTTGTTCCTCAGACATTAAATTAAACCCTATGTCTCATTTTTTATTCCACATTTCTGGTGAAGACGTGCATATTGAAACTATAAAAAACATGTTTACCATCAACCAAAACGTCCTTGGTTCACATCTGGTGTTTGTCATTTCCCATCTCCCTCTCCTCTTGTTCTGTGTTCTCGCTCTATATGCTGTGTAATCCGCATAAAAAAACTTATAAACATAACAATAAACACTAAAGAAATGACAGATGAAGTGGTTCAATAAGGCCACACTGAAGGGACCTCAAATTAGAGTTATCACAAAAAAACTAGATGAATAAAAACACACATTTAATCCAGACAGTTTTGATCATTTATTCCAAGAAAAGTTGTCAAACATATTTACAGCAAAAAAAAAACTCGATGCTTTCACAAAAATCTAATGGCTCCGGTCAGCTTCATTAACAAAAACGGTTCTTATTTTACACATATGAAACATTACACTGAAAATATGCACAAAAAAACATGAACGTTCAAGATATTATGCACAACTGTTTGAGAACGGTGTGGCTCTGCACGGTGTTTACAGTGAGGCAGTGGAATATTTTGCATAGTGTAAAGTGTTCAAGTGGAATCATTGCTAGCCTGAACAGAGCTATATGAAACGGCTCGTACAAAAACACAGCGACAGCAGGGCGAAGCATTCTAGTAGTGATGATTTAGCTGTGAAGATCCTCAGTTAGCTTTCAAACTATCAACCTCAGTAACGCCACATACAGTCTTTGAAGCAAGTTAGGTTTAACGCTTAGAAAAACACGTACATTGAACACTGCTGGTCAATATCCCAAAGGCTAAACCACAGATTAGCTATGTGCTACATGCATCCTTTAGCAGAAAGTCATAAACTGCTGTTAGCATCCAACAACTACAGCTCCCATGAGCGTCTGAAACGTCCTGTCTGACAGCAGGAGTGGGAGAGGAGTAAGTTAAACAACTTGACTTTCCTGACAGTCAATTGCTCCCACGTTACCCAGTGACCGCTCAGGTGTGCCGACGTGTGAAAGTAACAACCGAATCCAACTGCCTCTCAGGAAAGACCGCCAGTCCCCTTTTGTAGAATGAATTGTGTCCAGACAGCAAAGACAGAATTCCTGGAGAAAGATTGGGAGCCGGTGGGATGAGGCCACATGGAGGCTGTGGCGGCAGGAAGGTTCCAATCAAGGGCAGCCGGACGTGTTTGAAGACACCCAAAGATGTTTCGCCTCTCATCCGAGAGGCTTCTTCAGTTCTGACTGACTGGCAGGAGGTCCTAAGTCTTTAACCTATGTGTGAAAAGCTAGGACTTCATGACAGTCAGTCAGAACTGAAAAAGCCTCTCAGAGTCCAGTTGTCCTTGATTTGAACCTTCCTTGGATGGCTAAACCACGTTGGATTTGAGTCATGGTGTTTGAAACACACCGAGGCCTTCAGACAATAATATAACCTTACAGGAGCTGCAGCTGCTGAATGCAGACAACATTATAGTAATCTGGACAGGCATTAGGAGAGAGAACAGGTGTGGTCATTATAAAGGGAAAAGCAGGTGCAGCTACAGCAAAACACCACACAGAGGTTAAAGGCTGAAGAGAGTCTGAGGTAAAAATCTATCGCCCCCTCGTTTCAGAAACTAAGACGGGGTTGTTAATGAGAGCTGAGAATGAGGTAGGACTACAAAACGCCTCAGTCAACTGAACTACTGCTGAACTGAAGACAAACGCTACGCAGTGCCGTGAAACCAGCTGGAGGTTTTGGTTCCTGGAGAGTGGAGCAGAGCTTTCTAGGTCTGGAACCCTTTTACTACTCTCCATTTGCTTTTTATTCCGCCTTTCAATTATTCTTGTGCGTTTTTGAATTTTGTAATTTTGAAATTCTAGTTGCTTCAAGTACCACCTCACCTGTGAATCTGTGTCTTGCACATGTAGTGATCAGGTTTCACAAAACAGAGCACAGACAGCCGGCTGCGACCAACCACTGGCTGAATGTGTTCAGAGTTACGTGCCATGGCAAAGAGTTTGAAGCACAGAGTGGAAGGAAGGAAGGGACAGTTGGGATCCCATGGCTGCTCTGGGGATTATTTCCAGATGGCAAATCTTCAAATCTCCTGTGACAGTCCCCAAACCAGCCGCAGATGGCTCAATACTGCTCCGGCGTCAGCCCCATGAAACATATTCCTATCAGAAACAACACTCAGTCTCTGTACATGACAGATTACTCAGTGATGAATCTATAAAGAAATGTTATGTCAGTTTGTGAGGAGTCCTGAAACGCCACACACAACCTCAGTATAAAAAACATTCAGTACAAAGTCACCAAACCATTATGATTGTTTCTTTGTCGTACGTTAATTTAGCTAACATGTTAATACTAAGCTCTGCAGTGGTGGTAAACAGGTATATGCAATTTGCCCCACAGGTGCTCTTTGGATTCAACAGGAACTTGTTCATTACCAGTAAAAACCAGTTGGGTTTTCCTGCTGGAGACTGTTTGGTTACAACAGGGTTGTGTGGAGTGAACAGAGGGCTGCTACTTCTAAGGTGTGGATTCTATAGTACTCCTTCAAAACACGTGTGACACTGATACAGAACCTTCAGTAGTTCTCCAGCACCGTGACCGCACTGGGGCCACCAAATCAGATCACATTGTCACTTTACATTATTGCAGCTGGGGGGAGGTGTTAAAAACAGGTGATGTCACCGAAAGCTAAATATTACACTGGTGAATTCTGCAGACAGAAAGCTGCAGGGCAAAGTGTTTCCAGACTCATTTCTGTCTGGGTGTGTGAGAGTCGTGACCCACAAATCATTTTAAAGATCCTTTCGCACTTCTGTGAATCATTTTAAGGCACGAGGCTGTGAAGGATGGGGGTCCCATGCTTTGACCTTCACACGCTGGTCCAGTCCAGTACGGTGACCTGTGCCACAGCTGGGTACATTACAAATGTTAAGGAAGAGCAGGTATCGGAGCTGCTGGGAACTGAAAACAACAAATATAAAACAACCTGGTCGACAAGTCCCATCAGAGACACTGGCATCATCCACCAGCCAAACGCCCTCCGTGGTGACAGAGACTCTAGCTGGGTGGTGCTGGAAGTGCACAGTGGTCTGACTTGCATAATATTCCTTTACTGTCGCTTCCCGCTCAAATCATGATTGTGGATTCTTCACAGTCCCGTTTCCCCTCGAAGTCCACGTCCACGTTGTAAACAAAGCTGCAGAGACACAAAATATGAACAGGTCAGCACTGAGATAACTCACTGAAAGGTTTTATTTCCATCACCTCTGTAGTTATGCAGCTTTGATAGGATTGTGTGAGGGCTGTGGCTTCCACACCGTGTGGATAATAAGACTGACTGTTGTGTAGTGTACGAGGCTCACGTTCAAATTCATGTGAACAGATTGTGTGTTAGTTTTTGTCCAAATTTTCTTTTTTTTTTTTAAAAGTGACAACCCTAACGTAGAACTGAACAATTAACTGAATAAAGAAAATAATTCATTTTATCTGACCGGGGGGAACATAACCTACATTCTTCTTTACAACTGAGACGTGGGAACACGGCGTCATCGCTAAAAAGAAGTAAACCAGCAGCCAGGTCAGAAGAGACAATAAAAAACACATTATTCTTCTGTATGACTGATCGACAATCTGTCACTGATGGCAGCTCCACCTGACACCTGAGTGCGTCTCCTGCCTGTAGCTGTCCAGGTTCAACTCCACTAATAGCCTCAGCTCGGGCTCACAGAGGTTTGTTCCTCTTGTCCTTAGTTGCATAAGCTCGCAGCTCCTGGTATGCAAGTGGGTCAGCGCTGCAGGAAGCACGCTTGCTGCTGAATGGAAACACGGAAAGTGCTTATGTCACATCTGAGGATCAGCACTTACTATATTTACAGTGAAACACCGTCGGCCTGTCCTCTGGTCCAGGGGTTGATGATTTAACCTGCTTTAATAATCTCTGAGCTGCAAGCAAAGGGGTTCGGGTCATGTCCAACCTGAACCTTGTTTTTATCCTCTTGTCACGCTCCCTCCTTTAAATTCTTGGGGTTGCTGCTGATAAGGCGTCTACCGGCTGTGCTCTGGCTCTTTCAGCTCTTTGTTGTTACAGCAGCAGCTATGAGCGTCCTCTCACAGGGAATGCGGTACCTATGTGTGAACTCGCTGACCCTCTTTTTAACGAGCATGCCTCCCATACCTCAGCGCACACCCCACCATGGACTTGTTACGCAACTCCTCTCTCTGCCTGCGGACTGTACGCAGCAAAGCTCTGACAGAGACAGAGAATTACAGCTTTACTGCTTTCTATTTAGAAGCTGGTGTTATCAGGAGAAACGTGCGGTTGAGCACGCACACAGTAAAAGGACACACTTGAATCTGCTGGATGGACTGTGAAAGATTTACACACCCTGGACTTTATTTCAGTCTGAACCAGCTGTTTTCCTCTGCTTCACACAAGGCCTTTTATTCTGATCGTGCTTCATACTGACTCAGCTGGTTTGGGACATCGTAGTACACACCGAACCAATCTGAGCCTGAAACATGTTGAACAGATGGGGATAGATTTGAGATGTTAACACTTTATTTTAGCGGCACTTTGATTTCCCTCATATCCCTGGAAAGCGTCCTGGAGAGAACTGTATGATCTGGTACAGATTAGAGAGGCAAAGCTCTGAAAGCAGTTTACAGTTTAGTTGACTGGAGGTTAATAGTGAACACTGTCTGCGTTTACATACGCAGTTTGTACCGCCTCCTCTGACGGAGCTTTCTGTACAATGTGTATGACTTCACCTCAAAATATCTCCTGTCCCTTGAGGAGTCACATTTTTCCTCGACCGATGCAAAGTGTACGGGCAGCTGTTCAGTACATTTTCAGCGCTTCAAACCCACAGGTCCATACAACAGGTCGTCTATAGACAGTGAAATGTAAACGTGTTTCTCGCTGAAGGCAGAGCGACAAGCCAAAACTCATCAAGAGGGAACAGTCTCCTTTCACAGTGTGTATTTGGGTGCATACAGATAAAGTGTCTAAATGATCTCAGAGTCAGAAAGGAAGGATGCTGTGTAGCGATAGACTGATTAATCTGGTTGATATCAGACATTTTGAGATAATGGGCTGATATTAATCACGAGGCCGATGAACCGAAAGTGGCAGCCTCGTCAGTGAGCTGCTGGTGAACGGTGTTAGCGCTCCCCCTCGTGAGTTTTGGTTAGTTTGGAGCCCTAAATGTCCTCAGTCACCTTCGTCTTTTCTTAATGTTTCTTCTAAATGACTGAACTGAAAAAACTGAACCTCTGGTGCTCTGTATTAGCCCCTGACCTCTGACCCCCCTGCAGAGGAGTCAAGAAGCACATTACTAGCCAGATCTGCATGAACGTCCCAGCAGCAGGTACTTTGTTTCTAGCTCAATACTGCCTGCATATAAATCTAAACTATATATAATCCCAGCCCACAATTATGATTATATATTATATAATATAATCAGATCCAACCCTGGATGCCTGTTAAACTGACATGGTACAACATATAACCTTTAATCAACCCTTCCTGAATCAACTTTCTGTTTTCTTATCACTGATCCATAAATAAGCAAAACCAAAGGAAGCAGGGAGAAGGTGAAGGCCCAGCAGATCCTGCTGCCTCCTCAGCCGCCTTGAACACCATTTGTTGTTGCATAACCAAAAAGCAAACTGCCTCTTTAAAAACCAGCAGAGACCAGTATCTTTGGGGAAGTGGTGGAGGCCTGCAGCTCTCTGCAGAGGGTGTGCTGGTGTTTTACGAGCTTGGGGTGGTTCTTCTTGGCTGGCATTCACCAAAACTGTTCATTACGTAAGTTTAGGTGTGAGCCTCGAAGTTCCTGACAAGCTGACAAAGCATTTCCCACAACGACCAGCAACAGAGCAGCGAAGCCTCAGCAGGGAGGGCTGGAGCCAGACAGGCCTCCTTCATTTCAAAATTCATTAACAGTTAATTAACTTATTGTTTCAGGTCTACATGAGGGCTCACACAACATGGAGACAAAACATAATTAATTTGTCCAAATTCTGAATCTATAAAGTAAGGTTCGAGACAGATGTGTCCACACTGGTTACAGGTTTGTTTCACTGTTTGTTTGCTTCCCCATCCCTCAGGTCACGCTGCCATCTTGAAGCTTTTATGTTCCCACTTAGTCACGGAAGGAGCGCACGTTCAGTACCAGCAGCGACAGCAGATCCAAAACTAACGTGTTATCAGGAATAGGAGACAGATGCTGAACAAGCCTCTGTCCATCTATTATTGACAGGTCAGAATGAACCCTGCTTTAGTAGAACAGTGGAACCACAGAGAGAGGTTCTCTGTGCCCCGAGAGGCCAGAATATAATAATAATAATAAATAATAAAATAACCTCGTACAGCACCTGCAGAGTGAGGCTGTGATGGATGCTCTGCAGACTGTGAGGAGATTAACACGGTGTAAAGAGCTCACAGCCCATTAGATCCAGCACAGTCACCATGAATGGGCACAGCGGAGGGGAAAAGATGTGGATCTATGCTGATCCAGAGCTGTGGGACAAACATCTGAACTGGTTTTCCCCTCATCTTTTTCCTCTTACTAAGGATGCACTGAAATGAAAATTCTTGGCCAAAGCCGAAACCGAATATAATGAAAAAATAATGAAAACATTTACAGAATACTAAAAAAGTACATTCACATTTTTTTCTGCAATTTTTTTTTTTCACCGTTGCATAAATTAAGTCAAAATGCACTTTTGCCTCAGTGTTTCCCACAGGATTTGGAAATACTATTGTTGGTAAGTTTGAGGCCTGAGAGGGTCCGGTAAAGTAAATTTCCTTTTAATGGACACGTGTAATATGTTTTATACTTTCTGTGAATATAATCCAATTAATCTTATTTCCATCCTGTATAGACGCCTTATTTTGAAAACCAGACCTACCCAATTTGATAAATAATGTTGTATGTGGTTCTCGTATGGCGTAACATGAAGACTTCATGGCCTCTCTTCAGGTAGGACTTTGTAAAGAGAGAAACTGACTGATAAAGTCGCTAACCTTGAATGAAGGCTTGAATACGCGTGCACTCCAAATTTAGGTGCGGCTAGCTTAATCGCCTTCTCAGAAACGAGTAACAGAAACACTCAAAGCGGATCCGACCGTTTGTTGCCTTTTCTAGTCAGCCACAGATGGAGTGGATGTGCTAGGAGACAATTCAGTAGAACAGAACCTTTAAAATGCTTCCACACTGCCGACATGCCAACGTAACTGTTCGGTAAAATTTATTAGGTCTTTTGACGTATTAGGCCGAACACCGAAAGTGTAAAAATACCTATTTTCGGCCGATTAATTTCGGTGCATCCCTACCTCTTACTTTAAATTGTCTGAACAAACAGGAGAACATAAAGAGGCGCTTCACCAGAATCACTTGTTTTTGCAGTCGTGGCTCTGAACCCTGAGGAAATATTTACAGCCTGCTCGAGCACTGAATGCTCACTTTTACAAGCATGTTGCATAAGAACGCCAGTGACCCCCCCCACCCCGAGCCAATACAGTACACACTGTACCCTGCCTTCACACTCCTATCCAAACAACATCATTCCTGCAGAGGAGCAGCAGCAGCAGCGTCTTTGTTTCAGACCTATGCTGTATTCAAAGAGAACACATCAGCCCTGCTCGGAGGCATCGCCGTGTTTATTACAGGACGTGGACGCATTCATGAGCGCGGTGCGACAACACCCTGCAAATGCCTCGACTTGTAAAAACCCCTTTCGCGCTGTCAAAAGGATTCCCAAAGTAAAGACTGCACACACGTGGGGAGGGCCGCGGCTTACATGGCTCTGGCCTGGTTTAGGCAGAGGCGGCACATGGCTGGCAGGCAGCGAGAGGACAAAATGTTCCAGACGCAAGCTTCCATAAGCCCCGGACCAGGAGCAACGCTCTCATTGTCCAGCAGAGCAAGGGAGGGAGGGAGGACGAGTGAGACACATACACATGGTGGGATGATGCTGACATACACATTTTATAAAGTATGTCCCACTCCTGACCCATTAAAGACTTTAGTTTAAAACCAGTCACTCGCACTGAAAACCAACCAGCTCTGATCACAGCAGCATCTTTCTGCTTTAGCCAGAGCAGAAGGAACTCACTTCCACTCAGAGGGGGCCTAACATTTAGATTATTGTTAAAGGAGCTGAAACAAAGACTTCCATGTTAAGTGCAGTAAGGACGGGCCTTCCTTCCTTTCACCAACAGTAGCTGTGGATAATCTGTTTTCATGGCACACAGCTGACAGCTGGTGGAGGCGGAGCACTGCAGAGTGAAGTAAACAGGGGGCTGATAACTGATCAGGGTTAATGTAGCTGATGCCGATCAATGGACGGAAGGCTGGATGAGCGCAGGACACTCCTGTATCTTCCTGATACGTTAATATGAGTCAGTATCGGTCTGTGTGTCTGCCGATAAGCAGCAACAAACTGCGGATGATGTAACGCAGAAACATATCGCTCAATTGTTGGAGTCTCTGGCTGCAGCTCTGCTCCTCCAGGTTGTCTGAGGTTGTGCTGCTTCTCTCTGTTTAATGTGAAGTCATTTGAATTTTGGACACTTTGTCAGACTGAACAAGACATCTGAAGATGTTACCTTTGACTCTTGCCATCAATATATCGATTAATCAAGTGTTCAGCATGATCAGGAGTTTAGTCAATCATGAGTTTATTTTCATGTTATGTGTTTGTATAAAATAAAGATCAGCTGATTTATAATACTTCTTTTTATTAATTGTTAGTATTATAGCCATCAAATAATTCTCCTAACAGTAAACCACATGGCTCCCTGCAGCTGGTGCATCACTGTGTGCACGTCTCTAGTTGAAATGAGTCGTGAGGAACTGATTCAAATGCAGTATTGATCCAGTCAAAAGAATCATCAACAGGTTGAAACATTTCATCAGTCTACCTCTGGGACTGATTGACTGTCAGACTGAACAACACTGCAGCACTTTGATTATCTTCAGGCATTTTATAGATTAACTGATCAACCAATTAGGAGAAAGAAACAGTCGGTGCATTAATCATCGGTGAGTATCGTCACTGTGCTGCCGTCAGCTGTCCCATCAGTTAACCAGCTCCTGACAGTAATACACACCTGCAGCAGAAACCCCCCCCCCCCCCACCTCCTCCACTAATCCCTCTCTCCAGCAGGGCCTGTTGCATAACACGCTGTCCCATCATGCAGTGAGAGAACGAGGTCACCGCCGACCCTGCTAACAGCTGGGAGCCGAGAGGCGTTACGTCACAGTGGCCAGGGGCCCAGGTCTCAGGGGGCTTACAATAAGGGGTTACCAGGGTGCAGGATTGGGAGCTAATTGTCACACAAACGCCAGGCTTAGTCCTGGCAGTGGGTCCAAGTTCAAACAAACAGAGGGACGGCTCGGGTCAGCAACGGTGCTGAATGATGAGTGACAAGGAGATTCCGCTCTACATAACAAACTGAGACAATTAGCATCTTACAGCTCATCCCGCAGCGTCACAGCAGCAGAAGTCACTTCCTACAGAATGGGAGTGTTTGTGTTGGGGGAGGGTGCAACTTTCTTCTCCAAAACATGTCCTTCTTAGAAAGGAACTGGATATGTGAAGATTTTTAAAGTAAAACTTAAGATAATATTCCCCCATTTTTTTGCATTTCCAAAAACTCTACTGAAAATATTGTGCAACACTGATAAATGACAGGTGAACGGAGGGCTGGGCAACAAAACAATAATGATCATTTAAACTTGAAAGAAATAATGATTTGACATTTACATTCAGATAAATTAGTGAAGTTTGTTATCCAAAGCAAATTACAATTTCTATACATGTCAGAGGCCGCATGCCGCGGGAGCACATTGGTGGATGTGACGCTTTGGGAATCGAACCCAGATCTCCCACAACAAGGCATGCGTCTTATCCACTGCTCCATGTCCTACCCCATTTCTCATGATAAATATTGATATTGAATTAGATGATTCTTTTATCACAATAACATTTTTGGCCATATGACTCAGCCTGAGGTGATCGATTCACGGCAATATGAACACACTCTTCCATCCCCTGCTGCAGGTACATGTCATTTATATTGTGGCGGTGGTGATATCACTGACGGTTGGACTGGAACGGCACAACTCTTCTTTACTCAGGTGAGTTAACAGTGGCCCATAACTCATGGCTGTGTGAAATACCATACTGTGATAATACTCATAGTCAGATTAAGCATAAGCAGTGCATAATAAAGAGGAAGCAAGAAGTAATGTTGAACACTACTGATCTAAGTATCTTTACTGAAGGTCAGGTGAACCTGTACGCGCCTTCATCCACCTCTGAGAGTCCTTCAGTGTTAACATATTATATTCTTACAACTGAAACTATAACAATACTGCTGCATCATCTGTGTTTCATGGGCGGTCTGAGCCTTTGTGGCTGAAGATGAGTAAATATACAAACACAGATGTGTTGCAGTCATTCCTGTTGTTGAGAACAGAAACTGCAACGACCAGAGCGGTCAGTGAACACTTTCTGTCAACGTTATTGAGCTGCATTCGTGTTTACTGCACCTTTCTGTTCAGGGCCAACAGGGAAAATCCCTGAGGCAGCGGGATGTTGATGGGAAACGAGCCAGACGTCACGTTCACTGTCAGAGAAACTAAATGTCACAGAAGGAAGTGACTTTAATGGAAAGTGAATTCGGTGTTTGCACAACAGAAGTGATTCACTGCCAGGTGTGAACAGGAACCAGATAATCCTCCTGTACTGCACACGTCAGGTCAGTGCCAGAGACCCATCGCAGTTAATGCAGCTCAGCCAATAACTCTGACAATGATTCTCACGCACACCCGGACTGTGCATGTGTGCTTTAAAGAAGGGTTGTTTGTCCTTGGACGGAGGTTGTGCCCTGACTGGTTCCCAATCTAAAAGCCAACCTCTTCATCCCCGGGGCCATCAACACACCTGCTGTTACCTAACGTCAGCAATAACTACGCTTTTGTATTTGCTAATTCACCTTCTTTGTCCTGCAGTGACAGCGCCTGTTGAACTCTCTTAACGTCAGTGATCTTGTCAACCGTGTCAACAGCTCAGTTTTGCGTGTCGACGTCGGTGAAGATACTTTCACTCCTGTTTACACCTGATGTGGGAAGTTTCAGTCAGGTTTAGGGACTGTTTGGAGTGAAGGGGCGAGGTCTCTGATCCCAATATCAGCCACTTGCGGTTAACCAAGGAATAGGAAACCCAAGGTGAATGATAAAACTGCCTGCTGTAACATCCATCACAGTTTACAGACCCAATTCCTGCTTCAACATTATTAGCGACATGTCGAGTGAGCACATTTTCAGTTTTACCTCCTGATAAAGAAGTTTCCAAACCATCTGGACGAAATCTTGTTGTCCGACTGCTTGTGTTTCTTGGCGTGAAGGACTTTGTCATAGTGATGTTGTCCCACAATGTTATCATGACTGATTTGATTTGGACCAAAACCACAAAAATAAGATACCAAATTACAACAAACTCAGAATAATCCTTTACCCCTGACTAAAGAAAAATGTTGTTTTTCTGTGTATGTATGAACTATATCCACTTCCAGTCAGACCTCCAACAACTCGGGCGTAAAGAGTGTCTGCGACAGGAGGACACAGGTGATGTTGAAAACAGACTTGTTTATTCTTTATAACTCCCAGCTTACACTAACGTCAGCCTGGCTACTAGAAGTAATAAAAAAATAGCATCCATCCTCACTGTGCAGCCGAGCAGTTAGAGGACATTTCTAAAAAGCAGTAAATCAGTCACACCAGCAGTGGCTGTTAGATGAGGGACGCTCTAGCTGTCAGTTGAATGAAACATTACCTGTTTCCAGGTTACCTGTGGCCAGTGTTCCCTTTAAGCAAGTGGTGCTGAGTCCAGGGTCACAGAGGAGCCAGCAGGTTTTAACTCCTTCCAATCACTACAGCAGCTCTATCACTGACCGCCCAGGCTGAAGGTGGATCAATCAGTGAAATCAGCTGTCAGGTGGGTTACAAACCTGCAGATTCCTCAGCTGGACTTAAAGAGAGCATTGCTAAAAGTAGGTAGATAGTAAGTTATGAAGAGATGGAGCTTACCTGGGAAGAAAGGGTCCCTTCTTTGACTGGTTGGGTTACAAAGAGAGGGGGGCCGTCACGCAGCACACGTGACTTGGTCCATCCGCACCTCCAGCTGGAGGGCGTCTGGTCGGTCCTGAGGGTTGACTGCGAGCATGTCCTGGAGGAGTTTCTTCACGCCCTCAGACATGGAGCTCCTGGCCTTCTGAGGGATGTGGAGAACCATCTTGGGGTTCTCCAGCAGAGCCTCGCCAACAGGGACAATCTCTGTGCCCTGCCGTATGTAGGTGCCCAGCAATTCACGCTTGGACTCTGCGTCGATAAAAGTGATCCGCTCGATCATGGCCCAGATGATGATGCCAGGGCGAAAATGTCAGCCTTGGCCGTGTAGTGGCCCTCCCACACCTCGGGGCCATGTAGAAGTCCGAGCCGCAGGCTGACGACAGCCAGAACTTGTTTATGTTGACAATGTTGTCTGGTTGCTGCCTCGCCGCCCGCCCCCACTGCAGGGTGCTCTTCGCTGTTCTTGGAGTTCAGGCCAGCGCAAACTTTACTGAGGCCAAAGTCGGCCACTTTCAGAACCGGCGATCCAGATTTCTGAGAGATTAGAATGTTGTCCGGCTTCAGATCGCGGTGGACAATGTGTTCTTGTGCAGGAAAGCCACAGCACTCGTCAACTGCCGCATAAAGCTCCTGTTGGTCTGGGGGTCGGGTCGGCGGGACAAGATGTACTGGTTGAGGTCCCCGCCCTCGCAGAACTCCATGACGAACCACAGGTAGCATGGCTCCTCTGGGTAACCCAGGATGCGCTCGCCTGCAGGGAAGATGGACAGATGATTAGTGAGATAAAAGTTTATTAGAGCTTAAAGACAGGACCGGCGTAAAAACACCAGAGCACACAACACTGAATTCCTCAGAAGTGCTGCTTTCACATCCTCTTCAGCACAGGATCTGACATGCTATTTACTTTCTGACTGAGCGGTGAGATTCTCAGACTCATCTGTAGTCGTGCACTGGTTTCAGCACCATTATCAGTGGTTTGTAAGTGCATGCAGCACACAGATAGACCTGTTCAGCTGTGTCACTTCCACTGTGTCGCCTTGAGGTTTCAAACCTCAAACCTTTGCACACTTCCATACACTTAACAGGCATCTAGCTCATCTAGCCGTCTAAGAAAGAAACGTGGATCCGGATACATCTCCCCTCGTGGTCAGTTTAGTTAGCAGATGACAACGTAAACACACTCACACCAGCTCAGTGTTTGGCCTTTGCTGTGTAACTGCGACTCTACACTCTTATGTTTCAGGCGAGGCTTCTCACCTCTTCTGATGGTAGGACAGGAACAAAGGATCTTTGAAACCAACACTGATTTCAACATGTAAGATTAAAAAATGGGCTGAGTTTGGATTCCTGGAATTTGGTTATTAAATAATTGTGAAGAAGACATTTAGTGAGCAGAACTTACAGTGTTAAAATAAACAACATAGTGTAATGACCTTAGATCAGCTGCCA